ATCAACTGGATAATCTGGAAAGCTACAACACGTACAAAAGGAATGATACGGTAACAATCGGGGATGGAAGGTCTGTCCCAATTGCTCACATGGGAACATGACTACTTCCTACCCCGGCTAGTAAGATCCTTCTCTCACGTCTTCTTCATATTCCCTTTTTATCATATAACCTGTTATCTATTTCCAATCTTGTCAAAGACAATCCCATTTCTATAAAACTTGATGAAAACAGCTTTGTCTTTAAGGATCGGACGACCAGGCAAGTCATCCTCAAAGGTCCATATAGCAATGGAATGTACAAGATCGGAACTCAGAGACAACAGCAATCGTCTGAGGCGCTACTGGCGTCCAACACGTCGTCTCTAGACTGGCATCGTCGCCTAGGACATCCTCATCACCGTGTTCTTCAGCAAATTTCTAAAACTAATCCCAGTTTACATATTACTTCTGTTAAAACTGTGTGTACTTCTTGCTTATCCTGTAAAGGCCACAAACTCTCGTTTGATCGGTCCTCTAATAAAACTAATGCTCCTCTTGAACTCATCCATTCTGATGTATGGGGACCTTCACCGGTTCCCTCACATCAAGGATTCAAATACTACGTAATTTTTGTTGACGATTTTTCTAGGTATATATGGCTGTTTCCGCTAATGCATAAGTCTGAGGTTACTAACATTTTCATTCAGTTCGTCCACTTCATTGAACGTCAAACAAAATATAAGGTAAAAACGGTAAGAACTGACGGAGGTGGCAAATTTGTAAATCAACATTTTCAATCTTTTACAAAGAATACATGGATCAAGCATCAAACCTCGTGTCCCTATACTCCTGAACAAAACGGTACGGCCGAACGTAAGCATCGTCATATCATCACAATGACTAGAACGCTTCTGCAAACAGCCGGGTTACCTATGAATTATTGGTTAGATGCTGCGTGCACGGCCACTTATCTCATCAATCGGCTCCCCTCCGTTACTACTGAAAATTTATCACCATTACAAAGAATGTTCCACATTAAACCTTTTTATCAACACCTCAGAACATTTGGTTGTGAATGTTACCCGTTATCTCCGCCCATTCATCGGACAAAGCTCATGCCTACCTCACAACCGTGCATCTTTTTTGGATACTCAGAAGTTTCAAAAGGATACAAATGCTTGAACATGGTAACGAAAAATATTTCTATTTCTAGACATGTTAAATTCATTGAAAATGTGTTTTCATGCAAGATCGGGTCCAACCCTGACTCGGTGCCTAAATCCATTCCATCGCCTCACCTGCTGGTCCCTGCATCTACCTTAAATATGACTCAACCAACCTCACTGGTGCATCATCAGTCACAAGTACCCAGAGAGACTGTACCACAGGCCAACATTCCAATTACTATCAACGGTCCTCTCGAACATCAACTACCTCCCGCACGATCTACTACGTCTGCTCCAACGGTCACTCATCCAATGACGACCAGAACTAAAACTGGAACTCTCAAACCAGTTCAAAGGCTAAATCTATTGCATAAGGATCTACCTCATACCGATCCTACAACTTATAATGAGGCTAGCAAGAAGTTTGAATGGCGTAAGGCAATGGCGGAGGAGTTTTTCGCGTTACAAAAACAGGGTACCTGGACGCTTGTACCACCACCTATCAACGGATCCATTCTGGGCTCCAAATGGACTTATAGAACGAAGTACAACTCAGATGGATCGGTCGCTCGATTCAAAGCTCGACTTGTCGCTCAAGGTAATCAACAGGAATACGACATTGATTACCAACACACGTTCAGTCCGGTAGCCAAGCTACCAACCATCAGAATCCTATTCACAGTTGCTCTGTTTCACCAATGGCACATCTGACAACTTGACGTGGCAAACGCGTTCTTACATGGAGATATCAATGACATAGTTTACATGCGACAACCCAAAGGATTTGAAGATTCGTCAAATCCAAACCACGTTTGCTGTCTTAAGAAGGCAATCTACGGATTGCGTCAAGCACCACGCCAATGGTACACTACTTTTACTAATTATCTCATTCAAATTGGTTTCTCTCATAGTCAAGCAGATCCCTCTCTATTGATCCTTCATCGGCATCATGTTCAAATCTACTTACTCGTCTACGTGGATGATATCCTTCTAACCGGGAATGACACCAACGCAATGAACGAGTTAGTGGCACAAATGAAATCAAGATTTACGATGAACGATCTTGGTTCGGCCAACCATTTTTTAGGAATCAAGATTGAATCAACTCCTGATAAGTATTTTCTGTCTCAAAATTTATACGCCAACTCTATCATACAGTTAGCCGAGTTACAAAACTGTAACTCGATCGCTAATCCATCTTTTACAAAAATACCTGTATCAGGCTCCGACGATCCTCCGGTCTTTGATGCTCTAACATACCGGAAAATAATTGGATCACTTCAATATCTGACATTAACGCGTCCAGATATATCTTATGCCATGAACACACTTTCCCAACATATGCATAATCCAGCTACAATTCACACTGTCATGTTAAAGAAGCTCATTCGGTATATCAAAGGATTTGCTAACTACGGTCTCCCTATCTACAGAAGCAATCTTCTGCTTCGAACATTTTCGGACGCTGATTGGGCTTCGGATCCGATTACCCGCAAATCTACATCAGGTTTCTGCACTTATCTGGGAGATACATTAGTCTCCTGGACGGTAAAGAAACAAACTACAGTTTCCCGATCTTCTACCGAGTCGGAATATAGAGCTTTAGCATCAGCTACTGTGGATACAATTTGGATCAAGCGTCTTCTTGCTGACTTCCGCATCCGGCATAACCAACCCATAGATATCTTTTGTGATAATATGTCTACTATAGCCTTGGCGAATAATCCCGTTTTTCACGCACGAACAAAACACATCGAAATTGATCAGCGTTTTGTTCGTGATCACATTCAAAATGGGAGCATTCGGCTATTACCTATCAGCACCATTGATCAGATTGCTGATATTCTCACCAAACCTCTAGCTACGTCTCGGTTTAAACTTCTTCGTGACAAACTTACTATTGGACCCAATACTAAGTTTGAGGGGG